GATGGCTATTAGCTCACACTCACAGGGTGGCTATCAGCTCACACTCAGAGGATGGCTATCAGCTCACACTCACAGGGTGGCTATCAGCTCACACTCACAGGGTGGCTATCAGCTCACACTCAGCAGGATGGCTATCAGCTCACACTCACAGGATGGCTATAATAAAATAAATATAAATTAAAAATCAGGCAATAACAGGTCTTGGCAAGGATGTGGAGAAATCAGAACTCTCACACTGTGGTGGGAATATGAAATGGTGCACTGTAGAAAACAGTTGGGCAGTTTCTCGGAACGTTAAACACAAAGTTGCTGTATGATCCAGCAATTCTACTCCTAGTTATATATCCAAGAGAAACTAGAACATATCCACATAAAATTTGTACATGAATGTTCATAAGAGCATTATTTGTAACAGTGAAAAAACAGAAATGATCTAAATGTTTATTAACGAACGAATAGATACACAAAATGTGGCGTAACGATACAACGCAATGTTGCTCAGCCATGAAAAGGAATGAAGTTGATACATGCTATGACGTGGGTAAACTTGGAACACATATGCTGAGTGAGAGCAGCCGGACACCAACGGCCCCGTATGACATGATTCACCCTACATGAAACGTCCAAACCAACCAAACCCAAACCCACTATCATCAAGTCAGTTCTGACTCACAGCGACCCTGTAGGACAGAGCAGATTTGCTCACAGGGTCTCTAAGGCTATACATCGTAATGGAAAAAGAACGCCTTATCTTTCTCCCACGGAGAAGCTGGTGGGATGGAACCACCAACCCTTGCGTTAGCAGCTGAACTCCTGAAGCACTGTGCCAGCAGCGCTCCTTATGGAATGTCCAGCCCAGGCAGGCCCCGGAGATGAAAGCAGAGCCGCAGCTGCCGAGGCCTCGGGGGCAGGGACGGAGAGGGACTGTGACCTAATGGGTATGGGCTTTCCTTTGGGATGATGGGGATTTTCGAGAATTCGGCAGTGGTGACTGCTGCACAACTTGTGAATATGCTGAATTGTGAATCACTGAAGGGTGAATTTCATGGTATGTGAATTAACAAACAATGTACAGCTGTTATTGCAAAAAGGACTGTGCCGATAGTGAGGCCCTAAAGGAGTGCACCTGGGAACAGGTAACAAGCAGGTGCCCTGTCTGAAGAGAATGAAAAACCACACGGAAACCCACTCCACGGCAGCTTGCTGTCCGTCATCCCTGTGCCCCAGCGAAGTGGGGACGGCAATGTCGGGGTGGAGCGCTGCTCCTGCTGCGTGCGGAGCAGGAACGAAGCACCGGAATCGTTAGGTATGACCTCACATCTGCCCGAGCTTTAGAATCCACGTGGTCTCTCAGAGACTTCACCCTCCTTACTATCTGCGAAGGAGGAAGACTTGCCAATGAGGACTTGGAGGTCCTCCTGTGGTCATGACCACCACGCCAGGTGGCCCAACCAGAATCCTGACCACATTCTTGTGTTTAATTCTGGGGGCTCCCACCTATCTCATCTCTGATGGGCAGGATTGGGTGTCCCTCAGGACCTGCCCACAGTCTATGCCTCAACCAGTCGCTCCAGTCCTTGATGGCTTGTGATGCCCAAAATACCGAAGTCACGAACACAGGCATTTACCTAAATCCTTGACTTCCTTTCTGTCTCCACATAAGTAAGGATTCACTGTTCAAGGCCTAACTGCCCTACTGCTGCCTCCAAACATGGCAGCTTCATGTATCCTCTTCCAATGTCATGGAACGGGGATTCACAGGAACTTGAGCAAATAACTCATGAAGACCCAAACTCCTAATTACACATTTTAAATAGATATGACCTCTGGTGGCATAGTGCCGAAGGCATTTGACTGTTAACCAGAAGGCTGGAAGTTCAAACTCACCAGCCACTCCTCAGAAGGAAGATGGGGCAATCTATTTCTGTAGTGATACCGCCTCGGACACCCAAGGAGGGATCACTGTGAGTTGGATCCAACTCAACGGCAGTGAGTTTTTTTTATGTTTAGTGTGGAAGCCTCACCTAGTAGGTCTTTAAGGGTGACTAAAACCAAAACAAACAAACAACAAACCCAGTGCCACTGAGTCAATTCAGACTCATAGCGACCCCCACTGGGTTTCCGAGGCAGTAAATCTTTACAGAAGTAGATTTTCCAGTCTTCCTTCCACAGAGTGGCTGGTGGGGTTGAACCACCAACCTTCTGGTTAGCAGTCAAATGCCTTGGGCACTATGTCACCAGAGGTACAAATGGTGTTAACAGTCGAGAGAAAAAAAACCCATATGGCTGGGCCTAGGGGTCAGGGAGGGCAGGAAACAGAGTATCTTTGCCACACCAGGAGAGCACCATGAATTTCATGGTATGTGAATTAACAAACAACGTAGAGCTGTTATTGTACGCTGACAAGAGGGTCTCTACAGATGATGAGATGTGACATGACCTTCACTACTTCATACAGTCGGCCCTCCATATCTGCAGGCCCGCATCCACTGACCCACCAATTATGGACTGAAAATACCGGGGAAAAGCAATGAAGTGGTTAAAGCAATCCCTCAAAGGCTACGAGGGAGTGTGTCAAGGGCTATCGTGTAGCATGTACCTCGTGTTAGGGGTTTTAAGGGACCCAGAGGTGACTGAAAGCACACAGGAGGACACGCATAGGTTATGTGCAGATCCTGGGCCATTTTATATAAAGGACTTGTGCACCATGGACTCTGGTATCTGCAGGGGTCCTGGAGCCCAGCCCCTACGGATACTGAGGGACGACTGTTTGGATACGGTTTCTCTGTTTTTAAAATGTTCATTTTGTAAAAAGTTAGAAACAAGGCATTTTTATTTGGATGCTGGCTCAGATGATCTCTGAAGACCTCTCGGGGTCTACATTTCACCGACCTCAGCTTCCAAAGCTGGCATGCCGACAAACTGGTGTGCTGACCAGGGCTGGCCTCACCCCGGACACGCTCCCCCATCTGCTGGGAAGCCCATGTCTCCAACAGCAGCACCCTAACAACGTCTGCCTCGTTATCGGTAGACCTGTTCTTACCTGGACAGGTGGCTCAATTGTTATCCAGGCAGGAAGCATCAGGCTGGGGTTGAGAGGCTGGGTTCCGACGCGAAAGTAAACGCCACCCCGGGAGTCACAGGCCCAGATGTGTTGACTGCCACACGCTAAGCTTGTCAGCTTTATGGCTCCTGGAGACAGAGAAAGTGCACACATTGTAATCACCTCCATGAAGGGCCTGGGAAGTTTGATTCTACAGTTCAAAGGGCATGAGGAGACAGCACTTTGGGGTAAACGCTGGCACTGTGACATTGATTTCATATGGTCTTTTTCACCATGGTCTTGTGACTACTATAAAATGATTGGTAGGACTATGCAAACATGGTGCTTGTGGCCCACCAAGGGGAGTGGAAAGCACTGCTAATAATGCAAATAAGGTGTATACAACCCTTGTGGGGGTGGGACCATGCAAATAAGGCGTATGGAACCCTAATGAGGGGATGGCCAGTTTTGCCATCCCACTAGGCTTAGAATGAGCCACCTCAGAGCAGAGGGGGACCTCACTACCACCAAGAAAGAAGAGCCAAGAGTAGCACACATCCTTCGGACCTGGGGTCCCTGTGCCGGGAACCTCCTAAATGCAAGAGACAGAGGGAGAGAGAGTCCTAAGAGCAGAGACGGTGAGAAGCGGCACAGCAACCAGCACGGAAGCAGAGAAGGCAGGCCAGGGCTAGGCTGGCCAGGGGGCGGCCTGGCCCACGCAGCGAGGTGGGCGAACCAGTGCCCCAAGCCACGGGGAGAGCTGAGTGCCTTGCGGCAGGGGGCTTACCGCTGGAGTCGGATGCCCCCAGGCATCTCCTGGTGGCACTAAAGAGCTGAAGAGCTTGCCTGAGCAGGGCAGAGGCCAGGCTGAGGGTCAAGGGGCCTGACTGCAGGCATGGCCAAGAAGCAGTTCTGACCGAAGAACTGGATACCGAATGTTCCTGCTTCTGAGTTGCAACCTGTTACCTCCCTAATAAACCCCAGAAGTGTGAGTACTGTCTGTGAGTTCTGTGTGACCACTGCAACAGATTCAGCCCAGCAGAGAAGTAGAGAGTGCCACTGTAGAGAGAGCTGCTGTCAGAACTGCTCAGAAGACCGGAAGGGAGGCATGTCTGACCTCCACCTCCTAGGAATCAGCAGCCCCGGCCGATGCTGGTCATTCCCTCCCCCCGCCAGGTGAAGTGAAAGGACCTCCGACACCACTGTGCCATTTTTACAACTCTGACGCCAAGTCATCTGGTCTGTCAGAGCCCATTTGCACCAGGTGTGCAGACTCCACTGGGCTCAGGAGGATTCTACACAGGTACTTATGAAGACCCCTGTTGGCCCGCCCTCCCAAGGGTCACACGTGGCCCTCCAGATGCCACTGGCTCAGGACCTGAGCCAGCAGGTACCTGGACACACATCCCAATACGGGTCCCATCTCTAGTTCCATCAGACACTTGACTATTAGCATAAAATTCTGCACTTGGGAAAAGGGAATGACTATAAATAGCATAGTGGCTAAGGCACTTGACTGCTAACCAGAAGCCTGGCAGTTCAAACCCACCATCCACGCCTCGGAAGGAAGATGGGGCAATCTACTTCTGTAGTGATACTGCCTCGGAAACCCAAGGAGGGGTCGCTATGAGTCGGGTCCGACTC